GTAAACCCTTTTGCGACGAACGGCCGGGCATGATCCGACGAACAGCGGTTCGCGCGATTACGTATTATGCTAAACACGCGAAAATGGCTTTTTAAATGGGACATCTACATTTATGTAGCCAACGTAGCCGCCGTCCACGTAGCCGCCGCGCAGTCCCGCGAATCCCGCTCGATCGCTCGGTAAAACGGCAAGAGCGACGGGCGAATTAAATGTAATTTTCGTCCCATCGAGGCATGCATAACAAATTGACGAACGTCTTTATACTTAAAAACTCCGTGCGACGTTATGCACGTAGCACGGGGGCAGGACGCTATTTCGTCGCGCGGTCGATTTACAATCCGATTATTATGCCTGCATAATGTTCACTGTCCTCCCTCTTCCCCCCACCCCGTCCCCCCCTCCCGCGTGTAAGCACGTACTCAACTGCGTATAATACGATCGAGAGCGGTGCGAGCGGAATTTCTAAGCGAATGCAATTTAAAAAGGAGCAATAAAGCGGAAACCGGGCTACCGGGAGGAGTAGCGTTGCCGCCGCCGTTGCCGCCGCCGTTGCTACGCTCGATCCTTAAAATTGAAAATTAAACGTTTCGTAGCGCACTGTGAATTTTGAGTAGCCTGTCTAACCCGTGGCTTCACGCTTTTTCTGTTTCAGGATCCGACTTCCGTGAGTATAGGTCATTAAGTTACCAGCCAAATGCTACAAAGTAATGGGTTCGGGCCGGGAGAGAAAAGCCGAGCCGATGGTCGGCAATTAATTGCGGGGCGCCGGTTCCTTCGTGGGCACGAGAGCTCGCAGGGCGCGTTTTGCGCGAACGGCGAGAAGTTTTGCCCGTATCAGCGTGCATGCAGTTTGCACTTGCGTTAATCGTTGAAAAATGATCGCGCGAAGATGCAAGACGCGAAGCGTTGTTAAACTAGTAGCAATAATTCGCGAGTCGAGAAACTGTGCGGCAAAACTTCTCCCATCGTTACATTAATGGCATGTGTTTTTGTTACATATTTCCGATGGAATCGTCGTTTAATCTTCACGGACAAAACATCATTGTGTACCACATTCAGGGCGTAAGTATTCTACTTGATTTGTTTCTTCTTTTTCTAATCGAATATACATGTTGTGCCGAAGTTAACATGATTATCATTCAATATTTATTGACGTAAATTGTTTGATATAATTGTTTACACGTCGAATAATAATACCTCACCGTAATTTACGCGCAAGCACATCGTTGCATCGAGAAGTTACCCATAGATCTGAGGTTTCTTCCAACCAACGATTATTATTCCATCTCTGCCAGCGGTAATGAATGAGGAACGGTCGAGAATAGTGTCTAATTAGTTGAAATAATAACAATGTTTGTAACGTGAAATAAGTACAGATTATACGCTAACTGTACAAATTATTGAATACTTCTACCTGCCCGTATCGTGCAGCATTGACTATACGAAAGGAGTTTCACAAGTGAGAGAGTGAGAGAGTACGCTTGAGAGAGATATAAATTACGATCTTTATTTTAATTTTCCAAATATATATATAAATAACAAACCATTATAATGCCTTATTTTCTGCTATTTCTTTTTATTACGGAAAGGGAGAGCATAGCGAACGATAATACGGTCGTTCCGATAAATCGAAGGAAAGTGAAGAGGGCCTGCGAACCCTCTGGGCCCCAATACGAAATACCGGGACGGATAACTGACGTCTCTATAGCAGTAAAACCGAGACTGTGGCATTCGTGTCCCGATTGGGGGTCTCCAGACGTCGTCGGAGACGTTCAACGCCGCGGGGGACCATTGTCTCAGGAGAATCCCAAGGCCACGACGAGGGGCCAACCGTGGTTTGACACACCCAGGGGGGGTCGTAGCACCCCGTTGCGCCCCTCACGAAATTAATAACTGAAATTCGAGTGTTCCTACTCGGAACTAGAAGTTATCGCGCGAGTGTACCCGGTTCTCGAGTCTTCCATCGCGGGTTTCAGGACGGCGATTCGAGTGTCGCACACCCACACACGTGTCGCACACGTGTATGTCGAAAACAAACGTCAGTTAAGTGACTTATAATAAAGTCGGGCGAGATTTGCGGTGTTATTGAAACTTAGTTAGAAAGGGACGCATGCAATCTTGCAGTCTCACGATTGTTCCCGCTCCTGAACCTTCAGATTCGATCGCCGTAAACGAAGCAACGTTTGAAGATCCTCTCGCCGAGGAAAGACCGCCTCGAAATTTATTAGGGGATTCTCGAAGCTTGACGAAACCCGACCGACAATTTCCACCGGCCGTTCGAAAATAAACCGAGAGGCAGGTATCGCTCCGCCTCGCATTCCACGGCGATCTCAAATTTCCACAACGGCCACCGCCTTTTTCGCCGTCGCGAGCGGTGCTATAAGCGGGCAATTAAAAGCGTGCAGCGGGGACATTTATGCTCGCACTAACTGCCCGTTAAGACGTGGAACCACCTAACCGTGGAAGGTGTAATTGGTCGGCAGGCTGAACCTGCAGCTCATAAAAGCACAGCGGGCGTGCTTCGTCGTCCTGCAGTTTTCCTAGCTCGACATTTTACAAATTGCACTTTTCGTTGGATTCATTGTTTAATGCCGATTTCACTTCCGTAAAAGTTTGGCAATGACTATTTCCTAATAAATCAAACGGGCGAAAGTGTAGCGAATTTTATATTATACATAATAGTCGATGGCAATTGTGGCAGATAGAAAAGGACAAGTTGGAAGAGATTTAAAGAAAAATTTATTTAAAATTTTATATATATATAAAAAAAAAAGAAAGTTCTCACCGTCGTTAGACCTCGCAAGATGGCTGGAGAAAATGGAAAACAAATCGTAAACAAATGTACAAGTATATACCGGAACACTGCACTGCCGATCCTCAAGCTTAACATTCTCATCAAACGCATAATGGGCTGCACGGTTAGATAAGTCTGGAAGCAAGAACATCTGGACGTTAAAAAAGAAAAATGAGTTGTTATTGTTGCGGTTATTAATATAGATCTACCGGCAGATAATGTAATTGTGCTACAACGTAGTCAGCAAGTATAATTTTAATTGCGATAAAGCGTCATTACGGCAGCCTTGTTCCCTCTTCGAGCCCACCCATCGTTCTGAGTGTAACAAAGAAACACTAGGAATCTAATATGCCGTGTCAAGATAAAATGTTTCCATTTGTTCTGACAGACCGATGTGAATAACAGGAAATACATAAAAAGAACCGTTTTCGGTCTTACGAGTTGTACGAACGTACGTGATTAGTCGCGTGATCGTTTTCTTTTTCCTCGCGGCCTGAAAATATATCGTTCTATTAGCGCGACGTTTATCGCGTTGTAAAAAAGAATTCTTTATTTTACTATAAAAGTGTGTTACGTTCTTTTTATGCTCGCGATCACGAGATATAGACCGGACGTAACAATGTTATTAGCATAGATCTAACATAGGGATAGTGTAATTGTGCTACAATGTAACCAGTCAGTCAATCGTAATACAATATACAGAGTGCTTAAGAAATACGCACTTTGCATTAGGCGGGAAGGGAGAGGCACAGGGTAGAATTTGTCTCGATAGAGCGCACGCAGCACATTACATTTTTTATAGTACGCATGCCGTTTATTATGCTATCGCTCCTACAAACACTCTCTCTCTCTCTCTCTCTCTCTCTCTTTCTCTCTCTCTCTCATAAATGCACGCGCACACATACACATTCTTTCTCTCTTTTTCTTTCTTTCTCGCGCGGCTTCGATTAAAATGCCAGACGTCGGTAGCAGAAAGAGATTCGCCGTGATATGCGATATTGTTACGCGTGTACATGTTGTAACTGTCCGGATCCGTGACGGAGTCACGCGATATGCATTATGCACGCACGTAACGCCGCGCGGAGCGGCAGCAGACGCGTTTCCGCCGTCAGTCCCACGATGCAGCGGAGCTCACACAGCTCAGTGGACGACTCTCGCTCGCTTTGTGAGAAACGAGTCATTGACGTGCGCGCCGTTTGCATTTTTCGCGTAGGTAGGTATACGCGGAAAAAAGAAACAAGAGGAAAAGGCGCAGGCTATCTCTTCGCGCGAGTTCTATACATTATTAATACCGTGGTGGAAAACCTGGGTTAAATGGCGCGAGCACAATGACGGCGCGTTAATTACACACACACACACACCGCCGCATCATTATTTTTGACGGCACACCGGTAGCGCAATTTTGCGCGCGCACCTTATATAAATGCAATTACTATCACGAAACTCCAACCGTCCGTGCGATACTCGCGGACGGTTCGAAGCTACTGCGACGAAACCAATGCGATGTTGGAGCTGACAACGGAAATGTATTCCGCGAGTATACGCAATATTCCGCGATATATCTAGCGAGTATAATACATAATAGCGAGCCCAAATAGAAAGCGCGTCGTACGCGAATTTAGATACGTATGTAGACACGAATTTCTAATTCCACGCACGAAAAAGAAAATTGGGAAACGGGTTGATTTGGAAAACGGTGGTTTTGCGTGAGGTAGAGGGGAAAAAAAAAGAGAGAAAGAAATCTTATCTCTCTGAGATATCCTACGGCGATGGGAAAAAAACTCGTCTCGATAATTCGCCAACGCAGTTTTTTTTTCTCGCGCGGCTAATCCCATTTCGCGCCACGCGAAGCCACACGTCGTTGTGTTCGCGAGTGGTGAAAACTAATCGTGAGACAAATCCGACGTCTCGCGCTTTCCCTCTCGCTCGCGAATGAATTTAACACTTTCCTCCTCTTCCCTCCGTCATTGTGTGGTCGCGCGTATAATGAAGGGACTCGCGCGCGATAAGAAGAGCAGCCGCTCTGAGCGTTGCTCTCGGAGGCGACTTTCACCGCGAGCGCGATCTCGTCAGCCACCTGTCGCGGCGCGCCGGCCGGACGACGGAGCGCGAAAAAATGTCGCGATTCGCGATGCGACCCTTCCGCGATGGGCCTGCGATGCCGATCGCGGCGGTTCATTTACGACAGCTGCATTATCCCTATGCGACGCGTCATTACTTTTATTAGCATAATGACAGGCGAACAACTCAATTTGCATGGAAAATCACACAGGCTCCGTAACGAAACTCGCCCGCGGTTCCGTAATAGTCGTTTTATCAGCGTACATATGTAGGCGCATATTATATTATATAGCATACAT